TTAAACCACATGAGAAACCACCAGATCAACCAATTCAGGACTCAACATCCATCAACCATGCCTTGTATTGCTCGACCGGACCAGCGCCCGACCGACCGTGGCGGGCCCTTCCGCTCCTCCGGGACGCGGCCCAGGGCGCTGGTCGGTGAACTGCTGTCCCAGGTATCCTCGGAACACCAGACCGGCGCCGTGGCCGGCGAAGGACGTGGTTTTTTCGGCTCAAAGCTTCCTACCAGCATCCGATTTCGTGCGACCTCAAGAGGTCTCCGAGTTTGGGTGGCTAGGGAGACTTCAAAGTGGCAGACGGCGAGCTGGCAGTGTAGGATTTGGGGTTGTAACGTTACTCATTGCAATTACAAATACGGTACGACCGTGTACAGTCGATTCCGGGCGATGTTCCTTTCAAATTCGACCGTTTTCAGTCGGAATCTAGGGTCTTTTGGAACGTGACTGGGATGTCTATCACTCTCGCTTCCAACATCCCCTGTTCCTTCTTCAGAATGGTTTGGTGACAAGCTTGCCAAGAACCCAGCTGGGCAGAATGGAGATGCCATGAAGAATTCACAATTTCCTGGTCCTAGGACCGAGTAACCGCCCGCCCGTTTTCAGGTGTACAGTTCGCCCATCAGTCACCCTCCCATCAGCGAAAAAGCTGGACCGGCTTGGACCTACTAAGGATGCGGACCCTCGAAAACCAAGGGTTTGGAGGGGCCCCAGTTACCTGTGACCAGGCTTCGACCCCTTCGAGTAGGAGGCTCCTATCAGGTTTTGACCGCCACGGAAGCCCCAGGAAACCCGCTGGAAATCAAGGAGGTCCTCTGCAAGGGTTACGACATGTTACCATGGAAGCAGGCGTTTTTCTGTTCGTGTGGCCAACGGTGACGAAGCTGCGAACAGCGCTGTGAGAAAGAAACGTTTGGACCCCCCTCTCCGGTTCGCTCCTTTGGATCGGGATCCATGGGCAGGGGGCATGGAATGGGCGAGGTTTGTCACTTGGGTTTTCACCATTTAGGGCGCCCCACTCCATGACACCATTATGGTTATACATGAGCTGAACACCACCTGTTTGGTCTTCGGACAGATCTGGTCCTCCAAAAAAAAAGGGGCCATACCATCCACGTGCCCATGATCATTTTAGGGAGTGTGGCATCATGTAGAATGCTCCAACCAGAATCAGGAGGAGTACGTTCCAAAGCTAAAATAAACATGCCCTAAGGATCAAGGACGCTCAGGTCGGTGAAGGTTTGGTTCAGGTCCAAACCCCTGCGTTCTGCAGGGTCAAAACCCTCCAGTTCGGAGGGTCCAATGATCCTTAGGGTGTAAGATCCTGGAAGTGGAAGATTCGCACCACGAGGTCTTTCCGGACCCCAGCCGAACCCACCACGGAAGGCCCAGGATCTCCCTTGGGCGCAAGACCAGTGAAGTGCCAACCTCGACACCGTGGCAGAAATCTGCGTCCTCGAACCCAGATCATCCATCGTCCCTGAACAAGGTTCTGTGAGTTGACCAAGGTATACCTGGACCCGACTTCAAGTGCTCGCATGGCACATGACCCGAAGCAACAACAGGTACTTACAGTACCTGTCCCTGGTGGCCCACAGATGTTCGTACCTATCAGGTCGACTCCGACTCCAGGTCACATGAACATGAACGATACATGGAGGGAAATCGGACCTGAGCCGTTCGGCTCCCTCTTTTAAGGTCTTATTCAGTGACCTTTCTTACAGGCCGATTTTCCCTAGGGCTCCTGCCCTACCTCCGTTTCGAAGATGGTTGGGGTGGGTGCCATGGGGGTCTAACCACCGAACCTGAGGATATGGGCCAGGAGCCCTAGGGTTTCTGTGTCCGAACATCTTTTGTGATTGAAAAAGGAGGGTCACGAGGTCCTGGTACCAGGTCCTGGTACATGGGCCACTGCCCGACGGGCGAAAAGTGCCACCCTGTCATGATGTGTCCAATCCGCGGCCCATGGGTCTGGCCATGGCCCATGGGTCTGGCCATGGCCACTCCCGTGCCGAAACCAGAGAAACCAGCTCAACCAATTGCAAATAGCCTTGGAAATTGCACGGACTGACTGAGTATGACTGAGTGGAAATTCCTTAGGACACCCCCTCCCTCAAATTCAATTTGTAGGCAGGGGCTGCTGCAATGGCACCTTGTCGAAGGCTAACACATCAATACCTACACCTACAATAGACTGCCCCAAACTGCCCGATACTTTGATACTTTTGGCGGCCCCCTTTCCACCAAGACCAAGTCTTTGATCTACATCCAGAAACACATCGATTCATCCATCTTCATCCATGTTCCAGCCGAATCCTAGGCATCTTGAGACAACTATCCCTGGCATATTGGGCCCCACATCCATTTGCCCCAATCGCAGGGTCGGTTTCCCCCAGAGTTGTTGGAAGCAGTTGCCATGCACCTCTACCGGGACACTGTGGATCCCGTAGGGTAATCCATTCCCCAGACCAAACGACTGGGACTAGTTACATGTACACCCTCGGTGGTCGGACTGGTCGGACCTAGAAACCCGCCTGGCTATTGAAGGACTGAACTCGGGCTGTTTTCATGGAGCGTCTGGGTAGACATGACAACCCTATCCATGAGTCTGGTCCATACATGTCTTTTCCACAATTTACATGTCTTTTTTGTTCCAGTCCCATTGGTCTATGACCCTTGGATTGACCGCCCACACTGGATGGTCCTGGTCTCTCCCTGGTTCTTCCGTTGGATCCCACTCGCTTCGATCAGAACAACGATGCCGTAAGGCCACTTGGGAGTGCCCGAGGCCCCAAAAGAAAACCCTATCAGACTCCCAAATCAACTCCTCCAATTCACTCAGCCAGTCACACAGGGGTGCGATCCATGGAGATCAGGTTCGCCCCTGTCACATCCACTCACTCTGTATATAACGAGCCACACCACCCCTACCCCTCTGTGACTCCTGGAGGGTCTGTCTTTGGTGTTCGGCTCTTTCCTCCTGGCCCGCCCTTTTCGCTCCGCACCGTGGTCGCGGAGGCGTCGATCCCTTCGAAGGCGCCGTGGCGATCCACGAAGAGGCGGTGCAGCGCATAGCGGGCAGTGCTGGGACGCAGCGCGCCTAGAGGGACGGCATGGCATCCCGACCCCAGCGATGGCCGGGTACAGAAGGGACCGCCGCCGTTTCATCAGAGGGCCCCCCCAGGTGCGAGTACAGAACCGCCCAAGGTGCCTTGCATTACGTGCATTTTCTGTCTCTGGCTACAACCACAACAACAACCACCTGCTGCTTTCCCCTGGCACCTGCCACTGAACACCCTCCTGGCCCGCGGTTGGGCGTACGCTCCTTAAGTTTACAATCTGGATGTATCCAATTGATGAATTATGAAATATGTACCGTCATCAATTTATCTTCATTACATACATTCATGCATCTGCATTGTAACTTAGGGACACTTAGGGTTTATCTTCATCCATTTGTAGCTTGAAGGAGCTGGACCGTGGTTTTCATGCATTCCTAGACACGACCTGTCTGGGAGTGGCTTATTGACCCATCAATTGGGGTGCACCATGGGGCCAAACCAATTGTGTACCTGTTTGTTGTTCGGGTCAGACGCCCCATGAGCTCTAGATATGACATGAATAACTCAGGATCCAGGTATACTCTATCAACCACTCCATGTCTGTCATAGGACTGCCGATCACTTGACCCCTCTGGCACCACCACCAGATTGCATACCCAGGGAGCATCTGGTATACTCAGTATACTCCTCAACCCAGCTAGATCAACCCCGAAGCATCACGTGGCGCGTCACTTGGACCGACCTCACCGCGCGTCGGCCTCGGTGGTTCTTTGGGAGCGCCTGGGACATCGGTGGACATCGGAGTTCTCGACCCCGACTGGGCTCTTGGCCCACCGAACCCGTTTCGGTTCGGTGGGGCTACCGGGGTGCCATTGGGGGGTCTGTGCCCACCGGTCACCTGAGGAGATGTGACTGGGCTTGACTGGACTTCCAGTTCGAGGGGCTATTTGGTGATTGCAATGCCGTGTGCTACATGAAACACAGACTGGAGATATGGTTCGTTCGGTCTGATTGCGGTTCGCCATAGGCCGACCTAAGTGGTAAGGTTCCTGGGTAAAACAAGGAAGTCAATTATATAATGTTTGCCAGGTGGTCCAACCATAATTCTCAAACCATGAAAGCTCAAAAGTGACTCCAAACGCTCAAGCTGCGTGTCTGCCAAGCTCATTAGCACTGTTCTGCAAACCGAAGCCAAGAGAGAGGTCATGTTCCAGTTACAACCAAGGGCCAGTCACAGTGATCAGCCGTGATATCCGCACGTACTGTGGCCGCTTGGTTGGACCATCGCGCACAGTACACGGATGGTCCCGTGCAAGTAAAAACCAAAAGGTAACCTGTGAATCCAAGGTGTGCACACATACAAACACACACACACACTTTGGAGGAAGTGGTATACTTGGATCTTGCAGAAAGAAACGACGTTAAACATGTATGTCATACTGTATGTCTGTATGTCTGTCTGTGTCTGTCTCTGTGTTCTGCGTCTGCGTCTCTGTATCTCTCTGTCTGTTTTCAAGTCCACTGTGTACAGACCCACTGGCGGTTTCGCCCCTGGCGTCCGTAGGAAGATCCCCCATCCAGGCCGTGTGTGACGGCCTCCGACCAAAGGCAGTCCGCTAGGTTCGATGCAAAGGACTGGCCGTGGAGCGATGTGGAGCAGGTTGTTTGGATGCCTCGGAATCGAGGCGGCACCGCCAAAGCCAAGTCGTTTCCAGAGCCAAGCGTGACTGGATGAGCGTGCGAGAGGCAACAAGAAAAACCTGTCAGATCCAGTGACTCCACCTTGTCGTCTTGTTGACCTTCTGCTGGGTTCTAGCCGGTCCAAAGTCCAAAGCCCGTAACTCTTGACTCTTCTGGCGGGCCCAGAGCTCTTCCCAGGTGTTGATTGCCAAAAACAAAGGGCCAAGCGTGCGAAAACTCTTCCTCCAACTTCAGCAGTTGGGCAGCAGCGCTTTCACATCCCGTAGTATTCAGCTCCCAAGGCACAGGCAAGAGCCCAGAGGCGCTTAGGCGTCTCGAGACCAGTTCGAAAGGGAGGTGGGATGTCGACCTCTTTTTTCAAATTGGTTCTCTCCCGGCGGGTCAAACATATCGACGTCTTCTTCAATGGTCTGAGGAAAATCGCTCAAGCAGGACGTAGTCTGGTAGCTGTACCCTTTCCTCCACTCAAAGAGGCGGAAAAAACGGATGTCTCGGAGTGATCGGCTCCGTCCGAAACGACGGGCGGACACCAGTCCAGTCGGCACTGCGATGGACAGAACGACTCAGAAGGTCACCACACAGTGGAAAGCTTCAGCCAAGAGTATCGGACGTTGAACGTGTTTAAATATGGATCTCTCTGTGTCTCGATGTCTCTGTGTCTCTGCAACTCTGTGTCTGGTCTGGTCTAGTCTGGTCTGGTCTGGTCTGGTCTGTCTGTCATGTTTAAACATGTATGTCGAATGTCTGTCTCCGTGTCTCTGCGTCTATGCGTCTCTGTGTCTGTTCTGTCTGGTCTTGTCTGTCTGTCCGTATGTATGTATGCATTTTGCCATAAAGGGCGGTGCGTGCAGTACAGCTGCCTGTTTTGGCCAGTTCCTTTTTGCGATCCGAACTGCAAAGACCCACAGCACTATCCTCAGGTGGTTGAGACAGATCCTCATCTGTAGCATTGCTTGTGCAAGTTGTGCCTTGCCAACTCAACAAACTAGCTAGTGAACACAAACGTGTATATAGATAAAACATGGTAAAACTAAAGCTTGATTGATTGTCTCTTGGTGTTCACTTGTTTCGGGGATCGTCACGAAGCAAAGACGCACCGGGCCAGTCTTTACATTGCCACAGCCTTCCACAACTTTCTGACCGCTTCCCTTGAAGACAATGCTCTAAAATATTCCGCACAAAAACATGAAACACTTCGGGACAGAGGGCCCAGTCTTCGCCGGCATCCAGCGGGCCGATTTCGCCCCGGCGGAGCCTGGCTCCCGCGCCTGGTAGATGGTGCTGAGCTCTCGCTGCAGCGCGCTCACGCGTGCAGCGCTGGGCACGCTCCCCGCGCGGTGCTCATCCCCCAGGTGCAGCTCCTGCCGCACCGTGCCGCGGGCTGCGCGCGAATCGGGACCGCCGAGGGATCACTGGAAGGATCTGGTGGCAGAACCAAACGTGCAACTTGGGAGGCCCATCACCACCAAGTGGATTCTCTTTTGGTTAGTGGGGCCTTGTTCTAAACTGAGTGATAAAGTGATCGAAAAAGGTCATGGACATGTCCCAAAGCATTTGGACGCCGAAGATGGTTTTCGGTCGTACAAGTTCATGGGGAGTTCATGGGACATGGTCTGAAGCGGCCCCAGGTACTTTCCTGGGGCCATAGGTCGACTCAGTCGCTACTCACTCACGTCAGTTCTTCTGAAAGCCCCAGTCCCGCGACCCACGACCTTGGGACTGCCCAAACGACTGGTCGATCAAATGGTGTACGTGGATTTGGGTGGTCAATTGATCGGCATATTAGACATATTGAGTGTCTCGGTGTCGACTCTTGACTCACCAAAAACCATATATCCATGCCATGTGGATTGCCAATCCTGCCTTGGAGGGTTGAATATCATCAAGAGTCATCCAGAGTCGCAGATCCAAAGCTGCACCGGTCTTGCCTTTCCAGATCCCATCAAAACCTCAAGGTTCTTGAACAAATCCTCCCAATGCTGCACCCAGAACCCGTCGGAAGAGAATCTGTTGGACCAGTTGGTGAGCACCGTCTCAAAGCGAACACTCAACTCGGCAGATGCGCCTGGCAAATGCCCGGAAAACAACAACAAACACACAACTTTAACAAAAAGAGACACAAAGAAGCGTGGATCCAACCAGTGCGTTCCACTGTGTGCCTTGAGCTTGGTGAGGATCTGCTTGGGGGACTTTTCGTCGGCCAAGAATTGGGCCGATGAAGGCCCCACGAAGGCAACTGCACCTGAGAGGCGACGGCACCTGTCGGTGGTTTCACACGAAAACGTCGTGGCTGAACCATCATCCCAAAGGTGAAACGTCGTTCGGGTCTGTGCGAAAAGAGGAAGATCTCCGAACAGCGTGTGTGCTAGAATAGACCACCGTCTAGGCATTGTTTGTTTGAGAGATCTCCCTCTAGAAACACGTCAACATCTGGTTCCAACCACCACCGATTCTGGAGAGGTTCATTTCGGGTGTAGATGATGTTGGTTTTCAGAAATCTTGGACCAAAAAGGTCTGGTTTGCACCACCCACCACCTCCACCAACCTGACTGGCTGGCCCAAGAGTCTATAGAGCATCTATTCAATCAAGTGAGACCCAACAAAGGGCCCAACTACCAAGGCTCTATTTCCCTGAACCTCCAACTACCTAGACCCTTCAAGTACTTCAAAAAATGGGTACTATGGTAAGTAAATGTCTTTGATTCGGGTCATGTCCTATGAACTCATAGAGTACGACCGAAACTCGTCAAGTCCAGGTTGACTCTCCAAATGGGCTGGAAGACACGTCTCTCTCTCTCTCTCCCTATTAGGTTGGAGGCCTTCGCTACTACTAGGGCGTAGGCCATCTCTATTAGGCTCTCTCTCTCTCTCTACTCAATCGGGATCGCGTCACCTCCGGAGTTGCACACCCAGTCGACGACTCAGTCACCTCGTCTACACACTGCCAACAGAGGTTCTTCAGGATCCTTTAGGTTGGGTGAAAAGCAGGAGAGATCAAGTTCCGGTCACGGTATGGAAGAACCAGCAGGCGCATAGATTGGGTCTATCCTACTAATTAACAGTAACAGTGAATGATGATGGTCAGGTTGTAGGCCGACATCTCTAAACTAGTGATGATTGTTTAGCGACTACAGGTAACAGGACACCCCCAACCATTTTTGGGGGGCTATCCCGCATAGGTACCCCAATAGCAGTGACGGGTCCGGTTTCAGGTCACAAAATAAACCTCTCTTGGTGGTTCTCAAATCCTTGGAACCCGCTGCTGATCCATCCGTGGAACTCGCGAGGCATCGTGGGCGAACGAATGGACTGAGCCACTGTGGGGAGGAAGACATTCTCTCTTCAAACATCTTCAACCATGCTCTTTTGGGTCAAAACATGTCAAAACATCATGGAAAGATGTTGGGTCTTTGAGGAACAAAGCATATATTTTTCTGTCCCAGAGAGACAAGGCGCAAAGTGCAGAGAGGACAGGCGACTTAATCATGGAGATGTCCTCAAACCACGGTCGAACGCCGCACGCGTTTCGGCCACGGTCCCGCGCCGACCCGCGCCGACGTCTCGGCTCCGCGAGTCGATGGGCCAGGCAAGGCGGGCCTTCGCTGTAGATATCCCTACCTGGAACCCCAAAGAACCATTTCCCATTGTAAAGGATTTCAATGGCCATTTTGGAACAACGATTTGTTTCTGGTTGTTTGGGGTTCCAGGTACCCTAAGGATCAGAACGGACCCTCCGAACTGGAGGGTGACCTGACCCTGAATGCAGGGGGCCCTTGGACTTGAAGCAAACCTTCCTTTGAGGGTCCTTGATCCTTAGGGTAGCTAGGCCTCCAGTCGTACCTTCGTTTCGAAGGTGGGACTGGGGTCGGTTTGGAGTTTGGTGGGTCTAAATACCTTCTGAGGAGGTATGGCCGGAGGTGTATGTCTTCTTCTTGGGCTTTTTGGGTCGAAGGGGCCAAGCTACTGGGGACTTTGGGGATCCACCCTGCCACCCTCTGACAAGGTGCTGTGTTCGACGCATGTATACTTAGCACTTCCAACGGGTGCCCTGTCTGGAGACCTGTAAGTAGGGTAGGGTAGTCCAACCAGGACAGCCAGACAGGATGATCCTGGTATAGGATATTATAGGCATGGAGTGTCTATAGGCTCCTTTTCAGAAGGTACTTGGAATCCCTAGCACAAGTCAGGGACCATGCACTGTGACAAGCAACCTGTAGATGTTTGACATTTCTGAAAGGTCACATGACACCCTTCCCAATCTAAACAGAGTCAGGATGAGCATGCAAGTGTTCGATGAGGTTCGGGTTGTCCCCGCGCAGGGGTTGAGTAACCATGCACTATAGAGTCTTGGTATCTCCGTAGGTACAAAAGGGCAGCATTCAAATCCAGGGACAGTGACCTGATAGCATCTACTAGATCATCAATGAGTCATTGTGAAATCTATGATTTCACTTCCGGCCGAAAAACTCGAAAGCATGGTGATCCTCCCAAACATCCTCGGAAAGAACAAAAAAACAAACACCTCCGACACTTCTCCGCCATTCCACGCCGTCTCACGGCCGAAACTTCGCAGCGGACCCGGTGCCAAACGACGGACCCGGTGTGGTCGACTGGCACCCTGGGTCCGATGGCTTTCCTCTACACCCCCCACCGACGCGGGTCTTCAGGGGTCGGGAATCTCCTCTTCCTCGGGGACTCGCGCGCGCGCACACGAACGCGTTTTCGACGTCAAGGCCGCGCAGCTTAGAGAGACGGGGAAGAACAAATCGTCGGACGTTTCTTTGTGGCGCCGCTTTCACGGCACACGGCAGGTCGTGCGCCGAGGGCCGGCTGAGGTGACAGAGAGGTGACGGTCACTCAGCGACTGAGCCGAAACATTCCGGCCGGTCGAGTCACGACGAGCCGTCGACCTGAGTGAGGGCGCTGGTTGCGGACCGGGGCGCCAGTCGTACCCTTGTTTTTTTGGGGGGTCGTGTCCCACAATACCTTCCCAAGCAAACCATGGTAGGTTGACCTCCCGAAAATAGAGGAATCTGTTCATTTGACCGGGGTCCTGCCCAGGGTGCCCCAGGTGTGACCCACACCCACATATGTCCAGAGCTTTTGGAGGCCTTATGAATTTTCTCCCCTTCACACCCAAAACTTCCAAGAGAGGTTGAACAGCCCTATCCGGTGGCCCATCCCATATGTACCACAGACCAGGGTCCGAACGTTCTGGTCTCTCAACCTCTCTTGGTTTGAAGTGTAATACCTTCCAACTGTGCGACTGACTGTGCAACAAACATGCCGTATACCTTTCAATCCTTTTCGTGCATCGGAACCAGCCAATCAAAAGCCTGAGCTGTTGCACAGTTGGAAGATCCAAGTATCCCTAGGGCTCCTGGCCGCCCCCTCCGTTTCGGTTCGATGGGCCAGGGGTGGGTGGAATTGCGGGGTCTGTGCCCACCGGTCACCTGAGGAGATGGGGCCTTCGGAGCCCAAACGGGTATGTCCAGGACTCCTACGTAAGGTGCCAAGTTCGTCACAACCCAACTGGACCAAGGTTAGTGATCCGGTACTGCGACGACCCCCCCCCCCACGCAGTACCAGGCACTCAGCACTCACCACATAGAGCGGGCTCTTAAGTGATCCGAGACTACCCGACGGTCACGCGAAACCCTTCGGAGGTCGGGACCCCAAATCCTCCTCTGGTGGGGTCGGAGGGGGTCGAAGCAATCTCTATAGGTTTTGAGGAACCTTTTGGGCTGTCACAGAGCGTCTGGGTACTCAGTACTCACTGAAAATTCCTTGACTGTGGTTCCTCCGAAGCGAGTGAACATGAGTCTTTCCGGAAAAAGCTTTGGGTTCCATGCCAGTTCTATGCCAAGCAACACATGGGATATTCATCTCCAAGCCACTGGAGGACGTTGGGAACATGTGTATAACAAATCCTATGGGGCCCTGACCTGACACAAGGTTCTCTGAATTGACCAAGATATAGTTGTGTCACATGTGTCACTCCTTCATGCGTCCACTTGGGAATGAAGGGAACACACCAAGAGCGTCCAGCCTTGGACCCCGAGGCCCTCCTTCTTCGTCCTTGCCACTTGAGCGCGGTCCCCTTCTTTGTTCACTGGAGGAAGCGGGCTCCGAGGTCGAAGCGGGACATGCAATGGCAGCGATGTCTCTACTTCCACCCGAGGGCTTCTCCCACCTTGAGGTCCGTCCCCACCGGATCTTCCTGCCGGACGAACGGGGTGGACTTCGACGTCACCCGCCTGTTGTCCCAGTCGACGTCCACGCTCATGACCCAGTCCCCATGACCTGACGTGGAAGATGGAACATGCCAGCAGAGGTGGGTCAGAACCCGAACTAGACTATCCTATAGGTACCATCCTATATAGGTACCCCTCTAGGGTCCTAGTTCAGGTCACTGGCTACCTCTGTAGGTGTATCTATAGATGTCAGGGCTTTCATCCTACCAGGACCTGACTCGTTCGGGGTGTCCATTTTTAGCCCCTTAGCTGTGATTCGGGGTGTCCATTAACCACCCCTTGGGGGTCCTGGTACTTTGATGTACTTTGTGTGTGTTAATTTTTTTGTGAGGTCATATGGCTGGGTAAAGCTGGATATGTTTATATCCGCACCGCTTGCTTTCTTGCACGGCCAGTGGTGTCAAGGAAACAGAAAGAAACATGATCAGGGGATAGTAGGATCGGTTCTCTCAAATATATAAGGCCAAACATTTGAAATCAGCACCCACGCAGCTACTGAGCACAGCCTCTTTTGCCAAAATGTTCAGCTGAAGACACATGATTTAGTAAGGTATACTATAAGGTTATATCGCTTTTGAGCGGGGAGACCCGTCGTCACCTTCTGATTCAAATATTCCATGCATGGCGACCATATTTCAACATAGCTGACATGGCCTTGGCGACGCGTTCGGCTCTTTTGTTTTGGAAAATGCCAAAGAGCTCCATGTACGAGACAGGTCTCATCAGACCTTCCTTTTGGCGGTTGCTCATGCGCGCATTTTTGTCCATATGTGCTTGCTTCAAGAAGTGCTTGCTACGCAGCTAGGTGCCTCTCATGCCCATCTTCAAGAGGTTTCCACAGCCCGCGAAAAGCTAAACCCACACCAAAACCACACCGTGCCACTCATCACCAAATACCAACCGTGACCCGCACCAAAACCACACCCAGTGACCCGCTGTGGAATTTGGCCGCACCAACAAATCCCAAACACGACGTGCATGGGACTGCCATAGGACTGCCCATAGGACGCATCAGGGGTGGTGGTGCCAGGGGGGTCTGGCTTGATCGGCATGGCACAGGTCTGGAGTGTCTGGGAATAAACAACCTGAGAAGCTGCAAAACGAAAGCCAGCGCTTCCCTTTCTCGAGAA